ATTCCACAAAGGAGGCATGAACATACAATGGAGTCAAGGCAGCCTCTTCAGTAAATGGTGTTGGAAAATTGGACAGATGCATGCAAAAAAATGAAACTAGAACACCAACTTACAACATACACAAAAATCCATGGGAGAGAGAGGACAGTTGGGTTGGCAGTGTGGCAGCTCAGGGAGAAATGGGATGCGGACTCCCTGGGAGAAGAGGAAGCTGCATTTGTAATGATGAAAGGGAAGGTTCTTGATGGGACCTGGAGAGGAGGTGTGCTCTCAGAGGAGAGGTCCCCCTAGAAGGTGGGGCGCCCTCTGCCCACAGAGCACCCGTTCCCCAGGGTCTCAGCACCACTGCGCCCTCTGCCCCCTGGGTCTTCTCTGGGCTCTCACTCGGGGGACCCAGGACGCAGAGGTGTGGGTTCTTCCCAGCCGCATCCTCCTGCCTGCCTTCGTCCACCTCCCTTTGGAGGCTGAGGGAGGCCTTAGGAAGAAACGGAGACGCTGTTGGGGCTGGAGCCTCTGAGGCTCAGAGAGCTGGGGGACCACCCCCCGCCCCCCGTCTCGCCCCCTGGAGTGGGAATGGGGGTGAGGGTGTCAGAGCTGAGCCATCTCGGGTGAGTCCAGGAAGCAGGTGTGAGGGGGTAGGAGGTGGCAGCAAAGAGGATTCGGGACCTTGGGGTCTGTCCCACGTGCCCCTTTGAGCAGCATCCTGTCGGATTCTCCTCCCTCCCAAGGCCAGACAGGTGACAGACAGCATTGGTTCTTAGACGCCTCCTACCATCAGCCCAGCTTCCCCCCTGGACAGAGAAACTCCCTCAGCTACTCTTCTGAGGCTCAGCACCCTACACGTTCCCACAGCCTGCAAGGGCCCCTGCAGATTCCCAGGGCACAGGGCAGACTGGCATCTGGGACTCTGCTTCAGTGCTCAGCCCACCCCGTTTCACCCTCAGAAGGGCCAGGGGCTCCCTCGGTCCCTTGCAGCCCCTGAAGCATCTTTCCTACTCGTCCGGGTAGAGTGAGCCTGAGGCCAGTGGATGAACACACAGAAGCTGAAAGCGCCCAGTAAAGGTGAGTTAGGAGGTCATTGAAGGTGGGGGATGGGGTGTAGGGAGACCCAGCACCCTACAAGGGAGCAGCCAGGTCCTGGATTGGGTTTGGCTCTGTGGTTCCCGGCTCTGTGGCTCTGTTTCCCTGGGATTCTCTCCATTTCTAGCCCATCTTCTGGGGTGGATTTGGGAGGCCCGAACCATTGAGGATGGAGGAGGAGAAGGAAAGGGGAGGGGAGCAGAAGCAAGGGGGTGCAGTGGGAATGGGGCAGGCTTCTGGGCTCCCCGGCTGTGCCACCCACATGCTGCCTGGCCTTGGGCAGGTCATTTGACTTGTATTAGCCTCCGTTTCATGTCTTCCTTTTTAAATTTAAATTTGTTTAAATTGAATTGCTAGGTTCAAAACCCAACATGTAACAGGGACAGGGACAAAAATAAGTCTCTCTCTACCTTTCTGTCTCCCAGCCAACCAGTTCCCCTTCTTGGTGACAACCAACGTTATCAGGTTGTTTTGAACGTTTTCAGAGCTAGCTTATGCCTATTTGAACCACACATATACTCCCTCCCTTTTACACATTTTATACACACCGTCCTGCACTTTGCTCTCCCGTCCCCACTTTATGGTGGATTATCGTTAGAGATCTTTACAGGCCTGGCACATAAAGTGTTTACCCATTCCTTTCCCCAGCTGCCTGGATGGGGCTGCATTTGTACAATGCTCCCCGAACCATTTAGCCAGTCCTTGATTGATGACTGTTTAGTGTGTATCTAGGCTTCTTGAGTATCAGTTTGCTCATCTGTAAAATAGGTACAAGTAATTTGACTCTGTAGGACAGCTGTGGAGGATTCAAGACCCTGTTTGGGACGTGCCTGGGTCAAATGCTCCAAAACTGGGAGTCAGCATTATTGTTCCTCCCATGTCACAGCCCTCCCTGGGACCCTGTCTGGTTCACCCTTCAAGGCCCCTCCTAACTGTCACCCCCACAAATCGTTCTAGCAGGACAGTCTCCCTTGCTGCTCCCTTTCCAGCTAGGAAAGCACTCCCTGCTTTCTACAGTGAGTTTGTGCCAAGCTGGGTGATGCCTGGGGACGAGGTGTGCACCCTACCCACCTCCTAGTGCACATGTGAGAGGCACTGGGGCTGGGGTTGCTTGTGCCTGGAGTCGGAGCAAGGTGTGCGCTTCTCTCTGCAGGATGCGTGAGGGGGCCGCGCGGAACTGGAGCACGGGCTGCTGGCTGCGGGCACTCTGCCTGGTCTGGCTGTGGACCCTCCTGGCCTCGGCTTCCTTGCAGCCTCCAACTCCCACAGGTTTGGGGGAGGTGGTGGGACTGGGGAGACGTTTCCCAGGATACTGGAGAGCTGGACACCACCCCACCCCGTTCTACAGCAGGCAGATCTCCTCTGAGGTTGAGTAAAGCCCACAGATTCTAGGGGTTCTGGCTCCTCCTCTGTTCTTCACCCAAGAAACCATGTTCCCCCCCCCCCCCCTTCTGCTGTCCTGGCCGGAAAACGTAGGCAGTGCCATTCTCACCTTCCCCTTCAGGCCAGAAGGTGTTCTGCAGGGAGAGAGGCCCCTGGTGGGGGCTTAAGTCTAGCCTCCTGGCCTAATTCTGTGGTTTTCCTTCTGGGATGGTAAAGCCTGTGTAAGCGGATGATCCTTGCCACACATTGTCAGCCCCAGGCCCTTGCCCTCCTGCAGGAAGCCGGGAGGTGTGGTTGGCGTGGGACTTCATCTTCTGCCCAAGGCCATGAGTGGGATGAGTGTGGCCTCACTAGGGAAGCAGGAAGGACAGGAGCACGGAGGCAGCAGGGAGGGTTCCTCCATTTCCTCCTCCCCTGAGCTGGGAGGAGGGGTGGAGGAGTGCCCAGGTGTGGGGGGGTTCGGGAGAGCAGGGTCACAGGCCTGAGCTGGCCCCCTGATCCTCTGCTGGTCCCTCCAGTCCCCGTGAAGCAAGGCACTTGCGAGGTGACGGCCTCTCACCGCTGCTGCAACCGGAACCGCATCGAGGAGCGCTCCCAGACCGTCAAGTGCTCCTGCTCCTCCGGCCAGGTGGCTGGCACCACGCGGGCAAAGCCCTCCTGCGTGGACGGTGAGTGGGAGGCCGGACTGGCGGGAGGGCCTGATGGGAGAGATAAGAAGGTCTGTCTTTTCGGCCTCGCCATCTGCTGGGGATACAATTTCCTACTCATCTCAGGGTTTCCATGTCAGCTCTCAGATGATGGGGCAACCTCTGGGGGCGGGCAGACGTGACCATCCCATTTCATAGAAGAGAAACCTCCCTCCGGCTGGCACCCACTGCCTGGCACACACAGACGCGCCCCCTCACACGGATCCTCTCACCGCCCGTTAGACTCATCGCCTCATGCTCACTCCTGCATTCTTGGCCTCCTTCCCAGGCCTCCTCCACATGGACCTCTGCCCCCTCTCACATGGACACGTGGGAGCCCCTCATCTGCACATTCCTTCACTCCTGGCCTATTCCCTTCCCCAGGCCCCACCCATGCTCAGTTTCTCACGCTCGAGTGGCAACACTATAAACATGCCCACCTGCTTGTGGACGCCTGCTCTGTGGACCCCTCTGAACGGCTCGCACACTTGCTCACATACACCAAGGGGCGTGTTGGGACTGAGCCTCTCTGCTAATGGCCTGGTGGCTCAGCTTGAGGGTTTTTCTTCGACACGCACCCCCTGCCTTCTCCCCACACTGTCTTTGGTGAGATGCCGGGGTCAGAGGGTTGAGGTTGACACGGTTGTGTGCCCGGGCCTTTCTGGGCAGCCTGAGTAGGGGAAAGACAGGGAACTGCAGGGCTCAAGCCAGCGGTGTGTGCAGGTGGGCACGTCATCCCATACAGAACCCCGCCCCCCGCCCTGACCGCACGCTGTACTCCCGGAGAGCTTAGCGCGCCCCCATTGCTCTGCTCCCACAGCCTCCATCGTCCTGCAGAGGTGGTGGTGCCAGATGGAGCCCTGCCTGCCGGGGGAGGAGTGCAAGGTGCTGCCGGACCTGTCGGGGTGGAGCTGCAGCCGGGGACACAAGGTCAAAACCACCAAGGTACCCACCCGTGGATGCTTCACCCCCTCCCGCTCCCCTTCCACCTGGGAGGGAAAAGGGGGCGCAGGAGCCCTGGGAGATGTCAGTGTCCTAAGGAGGGACCTGCAAACCATGTGGGCACAGCCCCAGACAGCCCCCCAGGTCTGTCTTGACTCTGGGGTTTGGAGCCAGGGCCCCTGTCCTTCTGAGCAAACTTCCTGATGCGTCATCTGCCTTGGTTGCCTCCTCTGCCTGGAGCGAGTTTGCCACCTGGAAAATGGCAGGTCCGCAGGAACAAAGCAGAGAGTTGAGGCAATTATCTAGATAATTCAGAGGGGACGTTGCTGTAGCCACTCTGCCTGGCCACCCCTGCCGCAGACCCCGCCGCACACTCCCAGGATTCCCAGCTCCCCATGGCTCACACCTGCCTTCCTCTAGCCCAGCGGTTCTCAACCTGTGGGTCGCGACCCCTTTGGTGGTCGAACGACCCTTTCACAGGGGTCGCCTAAGACCATCCTGCATATCAGATATTTACATTACAATTCATAACAGTAGCAACATGACAGTTATGAAGTAGCAACGAAAATAATTTTATGGTTGGGTCACAACATGAGGAACTGTATTTAAAGGGCCAGAAGGTTGAGAACAACTGCTAGCCTAATTGCCTTGCGGGGCTGTGACCCGGGAGAATTCATGGTTCACAGAGCAAGCGGTAATGAAGATGTTATCAGACTCGTGAGCAAGTCCATGTGGGTCACGGTAAACCAGTCCGTAGCTCTGTCATCGCCATTTGTACAAATGATGGTACCATGGGGCAAGCCAGAATTCTGTCTCTGCCTTCCCCGGTCACTCCCACACACAGCAAACAAACAAACAAACAAACACACACACAGGAGGGAAGGCTGCCTTCAGGGTTCCGAATGAGCAACATTTTCAGAGCACAGAACAGAGGGAGCTACAGCCTCCATATAAAGAAGAGCTCCCCATCTCCAGGCAGGCAAGGAGACAGCCATTCTGAGAATATTCAAGACCAGAAGACAGGGACGCCCTCCCCACAGAGCTGGTAACATTGTCACTATATCTTTTTTTAAATCCTCACCCAAGGATATGTTTTTTAAATTGATTTTAGAGAGAGAAGAAGGAAGAGAGAGAGAAAAAAACAAGCAAAAAACATGGATGTGAGAAAGAAGCCTCGATCGGTTGCCTCCCATCCATATCTTCCCTGGGGATGGAACCCCCAAGCTGGGTCTGTGACCTGACTGGGAATTGACCTCTCAACCTTTTTTGGTGTGTGGGACAATGCTCCAACCAACGAAGCCACCAGGCCCAGCCTGTCACATCCTAAGGTTGTGTTTGTAGGGCTGCGGATCTCTGTACCTGCAATTTCGGTAACTAATCGGAAGCTCCCTGTGTGGTAAGAGGAGCCTCACTTACGTTTGCACGGGCCACCCCGCCATGCTTTCCCAGGCTGGGAAGGGGCGGCAGCAATGACCCGCATGACCTGCATATCCTGGGAGTGTTCGTTCCCTTCTCTAACCTTCTCTCCTCACTTGCTCTCTAGGTGACACGGTAGTTCTTGGGGTCATGGCCTCGGCAGAACAGCTTGACTGAGCCGTGGACGGAAGCATGGTATCCAGTTATCAGCCGGCAAGTCTGGAGGTTCGCTTACCTGGACACACGTCCCAGGTCAAAGGCCACACCCCCTTTCCCAGGGGCGTTTCAGTTGAGCTGCTCAGCGGATATGGACAAACCTCCAGCCACAGACCTAGTGTTGCGCTGGGCTCTCCGGGTCACGATACAATACCTGCCCTCAAGGCGTGTCCAGTCAAGTCGGAGAACTGACGAAAGACGCTTTAGATCATAAGCATGTGGTAGCAGACTGTGGCTTCTGGGCCATACGCTGTGGGCATGTTGGGGGTGTGGGACTGAGACTCCCACAGCTCTGCAGCCACTGCCTGGTCACAGGGCACAAAGACAAGAGGTCACATTGACCACCCACCGCTTCTCTCCCTCACATGGGTCCAAATCCCCAGTGCACTGCTAACGTGTTGAAGGAAGACACGTGTCCCTCTGCAGACTGGCTGCACAGCCTTTGCCTGGGACTGGCTTGACTTGCGGAAGAGACGCAGAGATGAAGCCAAACTTTCCAGCGGAGCTTCTGCAGACATGGGGCCCAGTTTGGGCTGTTGGTTGTTGGGCTAGGGATGGACCGGACCTTCAGATCACTGCCGTCCAAACACCTCGAGTTTTTGCTTGTTTGAACAGGTGAGGAAACAGTCCCAGAGGGGTGAAGTGACTTGCCCAAGGTCTCACAGCTTGGGCCTCCAACTCTCTGACTACTGACCTTTTCACTTGGCCTGGATATGGGATTCCCACTGGCCTTCTATGTTGCTTCTTTTTTTTTTTCCAGAGAGTAAGGGCGAGAGAGAGAGAGAAACATCAATGATGGGAGAGAATCATTGATCGGCTGCCTCCTGCACATCTACTGGGGATTGAGCCTGCAGCCCAGGCATGTGTCCTTTACGGGAATCGAACCCGGGACCACTCAGCCCTCAGGTTGACGCTCTAGCCACTGAGCCAAGCCGGCTAGGACCCATGTTGCTTTTATCTCTGGAAGAGGAACCTTCAAAGACCTGGCTGGACAGCAGCAACATTTCTCTCGGGAAATGCTGCAGCAGTAATTTTTTTACCGAGGTCACTGCTCTCCTCCCTGAAATGATCCAGATTGCCGACACACCTGGATGTGGGGCCACTGGATCCCCACTCTGCCCTCGGGCCCCATGACAGCCCAGAGGCACCGAGCCCAGCTACAGCTGCGGCACTGAGCTGGCAGCCCTGCTGCCCACTCTGACCCATCTCTTCCAGAATCCTTAGGCTGTACCTCTCGGGCGCTAAGAGAGGGTCTGGGTGGGGTCCAGGCTGGTCAGCCCTTCAAAGGTCCTGCTGGGCTGGGTGGAACCTTTGCCCAGGGTTCCCGGGTAGACACACAGGCTTCAGGGACTGAGAGCCGGGCGACTTGGGTAGCTCATCAGTAAGACAATTCCAGGCTCAGCTGGGATGACTGGGATGCAGAGTGTGGGGGGCCTGGAGAGGAGGGGTGTCAGTACCCGCGGAGAGGGGTGGACAGTGCTGAATTCTGACCCTCAGGCGATGGATTGGGCTTGAGTTTCAGTCCCTGCCTGCTTCTCTCCCTCCCTCCCTCCACCCTGTGCAGTAGGACTAAGACTGCTCATCCCACTCCAGGGTTTATGTTCTTGTTTTTAGTTTGTTTTGTTTGGGGTAATGGGATGAACAATGATACCAGCTTCTCACTAGACTGTACATATCAGAATTCTGACGACTGAAGCGACTAAAGCTCTGCGCACAGTCGTCACGTCACGGGTGAAGTGGTCAAGGGGTAGGTCAAAGGTCATCACCTTCAAGGCTGGGGAGTGGATCAGGGTTAGCAAACTTTCTGGAAAGGCCCAGGTGATAACTATTTTAGGCTTCACAGGCCACAAAAAGTCTCTTTGGTATATTTTCCTTTGGTGTTTCTTTATTTGTTTTGTTTTTTAAAAAAGAACTTTTTAAAACGTAAAAACTATTCTTGGCCTGAGGGCTGTGCAGAACCAGGCCCCAGGCTGTTTTTGGAAGGTTGCCAGCCCCAGCGGACCTGTGCAGGCGGGCCAGCTCTCATCTCCGCAGCCTAGGTCTTCTGCCCAGGCTCCTGGCCTGCCTCCCGTGCAGCCGCAACCTGAGCAGGAGGTCTGGGTCGGGTTTTGTTTTCCTTCTAATGCTTCCTGAGAGGTCGGGGAGTGAATTATTTAGGCTACAAATGAGACAGCTTTAGCAGAGTCGGACAGGAAGAGCCTGCCCTCCCGGAGGCCAGGGTGTGGGCTTCTCCACGCCCCACCCCTGAGACTGTGCCTGGGAGGGAGGGAGCGGGCTCCGGCCCTGTGCCCATCTGCTGTGTCCACAAGCTGCTGGGCTTTGAGCTAACGGGAAGCCCCATCCCAGCCCTTCTGCACCCCCCTCCCCCCCACAGACCCCCTGCAAATGACACAGGCTTCATTAATGTGGGGTAGGGACTGGTTGGGCGGGGGGTTGGGGGGGTGAACTTTACTGGTGACATTTACCAAAGTCATGAACTCAGTGAACATTATAATTTGCTGATTAAAATTTTAATGCTTGTCTTAAGGTCAGAAAACACCAGAGAATGTCAAACACTGGATGCAGAGAAGTTGACAGAAATAGGAGAGTTGGGGAGTGGCAAGCCAGGGCTGCTGTAGTTGAGGGGGGTGGTCAGGCTGCCTGGGGATGGGACACGTGCTCCTGAGGGAGCTGAGTGGGGTGTCCAGGTGTGGGGAGGTAGGAAGAGCTTGGACTTCAGAGGGAGGCTGGCCTGGGCTAGCATCTCGCAGTGTGGCCTGGGGCACAAGGACCCTGCCTGGTACAGAATTAGTGTCATGGATTGAGAGCAAAGTGTGTAACCTCTTCTCGTGCAGCAGGCACGCAGGAAACAGCTATTGCTGTGGCGTGTCTGTGATTGCTGGGCTGAGTGGGGGCACAGACCTGCATGTGAGGGTTTGGAGCAGAATCTGTGTCGTGGCTGAGGGGTAGGGAAATGCCTAGGGTGGGAGGGTGAGTGTGGGGCGCGCGGCTGTGTGTCGCTGGAGCTATGAGCGTCTGGGAGGCCATGACCTCTCTGTAGGTGAGGTTGTCCGCAGGCTCCGTCCTTCTTGTAGAGGCCTCCAGACAAGCACGGGAGGAAACCAGAGGGGCCTCCTCCAGGGTCGTCTGGGACGGGGCACCCCTTCCTCTGCAGCAGCAGCAGCAGCTTGCAGGCCCCGACTCCGTATTCCAGACATTGCTTCCGTGCCTTCTGTCCCCGGTGACTCGTTAAAAGACTTCAAAGGAGAAACTTCAGACTGGAGACCTCGCTTGCCATCCACATTTTTTAACATTGAAGATATAACCGTACAGAACGTGTCTGTGAATGGTAATTAGCCCCTTGAGAGGCAGAACAAAGAGGAGAGAAGAGAGAGACAGTGAGCGGGAGAGGGCCGTTGAAATGCTGCCTGGATAGCAGGGGGAGGGGCGCTACGCCGGGAATTCTGCAAAATAACCTCAAGGATACACAGGCCCCATGAAGGCGATAGAGTAACAAGGACAAGACCTGATCTCAGAGAGGAGTAAGTAGGGAGAGAGAGGGAGCCGGTGTGGGAATTTTCCTTCTCGGAGGTAAATGAAGTGGCTGGGGTGCCCCCTGCACAGAGTCAGCAGAGACCAAGATGGGGTACGATAGGCACCGGAAGTATGGGGTGTGGCCCGAGGCTGGTGGTGCAGGCTCCCACCCCTGATCTTTCTTCCTGGCAAGCACTCACCCCAGCCACTTGCATCTGAATTCCTATTTTAATAAGAAGCACAAAAATGCATCTTTATTCAGTGCCAGGTCCATTTGTAAATACTGCCTTATTTCATTCTAACAAGATCCATATGAAGTAAGTACTTAGGAAATATCTCCGCTTTATAGATAAGGAGATTGGACGTCAAAGGTCACATCCAGGTCTGTCTCCTGACAGTGGACCAAGCTGCTTCTATGGCTTGGGTATTGCAAGTTTAGTTTGTTGTTTTCGAATGATTTCAATTTCCATTTTCCCTCCTGATCACCATGTAAATACATGCTCACTGAAGGGCATTTTAAATATACAGTTACAGAGAAGAATAGAAAAATAATGTCTAATTTGTAGTGATCTCTCTTTATATTTTCTTCATGGCTTTGATAATTATTGTAATGAGATGCCCTCTTAGGAATTCTTTCAACTCTAAGAAACAGACAATGTGGCTACCAACACGGAGAAAAGAGGTGTTTAAAAAATAGGTTTATTTTTCTTGTCTATCAGGATCTCTGGAAGTGGGCCGGTGCCTCTGTTAATTTAGGCCCAGCAATGGATTGACACCTTGAAATGCTCTTAGCTTTTGCCTCATGGTTACAAAATGGCCTCTGCAGCTCCGAAAATCACAGCCAGGTTCCAGGCAGTGAGAAGAGAACACGCTTTCCCAGAGGCTCCTGCCAGACTTTGGTTTGCAACGCCTGGGCCATAACTGAGTCACAAAGCAACTCGTATCTTTAAGGGAGGCTAGGGGGAAAAAAATGTGTTTCTCCACACTCTCTATTTGAAGTGGATTCGGGCCCCAGAGAGGAACTAAAACGCAAGCCTCTTTTCCAGGGTGGGGCATTCATGCTTGCTTTGGTTTCAGAGGTGTGGGTGAGGCAGAAAGATACAGCTTCGGCCCTGTGAAACAGCCCTCTGAAATTTGCACACCAACCCTCTTCCGGGAGGAGAGCCATTAGATTCACGCGAGCCTCGCTATGGACACCCCCATCGTCAGGGCCTCCTTAAGGGCATGCACACCAGGTGCCTCCTGTTCCAGACCTGTGGGTCCCAGGGATGCCCTGTGACTCGAGGCTTTGCCTCACTCTCCCTCCACCTTGCCCGGGTTTGATGCTGCCTCCTCCCTGGTCCTGAAGGGCACGAGGAAGTCACACCTGCCTGTCACGTGCGTTGTCTGTCCAGCGCTAGGCTTCCGTTCTCCTGGGATTGCCATTGCCTGAGTGCTGCTTCCCCTCCACTCCCAGCCTCATGCTTTGGGGAGCGCTGCCCAGCTCCTGCAGAACCACACGGGCCCAGCCAGATGTGACCGGTCCAGAGGCCAGCATCCCCTGCATGTCATACACTTGAATTGGCTCTTGATGGACAAGTAATAGCTGATGTTTACTGAGCACTGTTCTAAGCATTTTAGTGATACTGACTTCATCCTTCCCCCAATCGGATGGATTATACACTGTTACAAGTCTAAGTTGCAGATGAAGTTTCAGCGACATGTTCAAGTTTACTCAGCCAGAAAGCAGCAGAACCAGGATTCAAACCAAGGTAATCTGGGGTCCCCTCCGCCCATTCCCCTTATCAAGTTTCAAACAGGCACAAAGGCAGGCAGAAGAGCATAATGAATTCCCACACACTCATCACCTAAATTTAATAGCTGTTAACATTTTGCCACAATTGCTGCATCTTTTGTGTGTGTGTGTGTGTGTAAAATCTCGAATAGATAAGGACTTTAAAAAATAACATTGCCAGCCCTAGCTGGTTTGGCTCAGTGGATGGAGCTTCAGCCTGCGGACTGAAGGGTCCGGGTTCGATTCGGGCAAAGGGCACATGCCCGGGTTGCAGGCTCCATCCCCAGTGGGGGGGGTGTGCTG